AGTCCCGACCGCCCTGCAGAGGAAAGAAGTGTTACACGCAGGCAGCTGGTGGAGCGTGTGATGGAGGTAATGGAGCTGAAGGGGCATTTTGTCCACGAGCTACAGAGAAGAGAAGACCACATGAGGGAGGTGCTGCTGGCTGATATGACCTCTGCACTGGCTAAAAGACTGGGATATATGTAGAGAGAGAAGAGAAGAAGAAAGGGCATTATGTGCAGCAAGTTGGAAAGATGGTGGAGGTGGAGGTGTTTGCCACTGTTCAGTAGTGGACAGTGGTATGTATTTCTAGTTTCCAACATACCCTAGATTGTTTAAAAATATATTTCATATTAATTTTTATATTCTTAATTAGATTAATTCATCAATTTTTCATCACTTTGTGTTCTCCAGACGGCTGTTTACAGCTACTAAATGCTTACATTTTTACTGTTTACTTTTCTCAGCAAAGTACTGATTGCTGATTATGTGGCCCAAATATTTAGCTGTAGCTGTAGATGATAATTTGTCTACCTGTGATGCATAAAAGTCACTGTTTGGAGAATTAGCATTTTATAAATGAATATTTTATCAAGTTTACTTCTGCTTTTCATTCTTCTTCCATAATTTAAGTGGGGAAAAAACAAACTACACTACAAAACCTACAAAAATATATAAAAATTTAAAAGAACTAACTTGTCTGTCACTTATAGATAGATAACAAATAAATGTACTCTTAAATATGATAATATGATAACATGATAACAAATAAATGTACTCTTAAATATACTCATGAAACAACAATCACTTAAATTTTTCAAATGTATGGCTGTCAGTCAACTGTGGTTACCCTGCTTTGATAAGTAAATTTTCCACAGACTTCTCTTGATAATGTAGCTAAAATGATGATAATGAATATAAGAATAGTGAAGCAGAGTTAGTTACATCAAGTATTCAATACACTATGTGCTCTTATACTTTCACTCCCAAAAACTACAGTCAGAGTCACCAAGTATGCCAAATGTCATCTGGCTAAATAAATCCCATTAGTACTAATATTGCTATAGACTCAAAACCACAACAAGAAAAAGTTGTTATAGGATATAAGGACGTAGGATTAAAGCCCATAAAATGTTTAAGTATTTTGTAGTTTACATGGTCTGAGAGGCACCTGGACCCCTACACCTCGTCTATTTTCAGGTTCCAGATTTATTCCAGATTCAAGGTTCAAGGTTCTTTATTTGTCACATGCATTCAAGTGTATTAAGACGCGTTTTTGACTGTTAAAAAAGTTGAGTGACAGATACAAGTAACTTAAGCTGTTCGGAAATATGAAATGATCCTCCTGTTGTTGTAATTACAGCAAATATCTATAGAAATGTTCTATCTGTTAAGTCTTTCTCTCTGATCTTTCCTGATTAGTAATGTTTCTCATATAGCTTTCTACAGACACTAGAAGAACAGTAACAGTACAGTCTGTAAGCATAACACATATCAGAAAGCTGGCTTTACAGCTAGCTATGACAATAAGTTCACCAGATGAGACACATATTTAGCATCTCTGCCACTCTACAAAACTATGATTTATTTATTCTTCAGTATAAATCCAGTTTTCAAGTTTTTCTCCAAATCTAGAGAACTCAATCTGTTATAGTAATTAACAGTAATTAATCAATTAAAGTCCGGCATCAGGATGCAAATATGTTACTTACTATCCAGGCATTTAATAATATATGCCAAAAAAAAAAAAACCCCGGTGAATCTCTTTTTTTTTAAAAATTATGTTTTTATTTTTATTGTTATTTTCCCTACAATTAACCTCGTTACCGTGTTGCCTCAAGCATCCTCTGCTGGTTACGAAAAGGTTTCAAAAGTTTTCATGCTTCCATAATTTTTTCACCTACTGCGATACACTGGCTACGGCAAGCGACGAGGGTCCATTAAGTTTAAAGCTTTCCGGGTTCACCCTGTCAACAGTCGCTGGGTGTGCTGCTGCTGCTACGGAGGAGCAACGATGTCGGAGCAGGAGTCTCTGAGGTGCTCCAGTGCCAGAAACCGTGGAGGCGTACAGAGGGTAGAAGGAAAACTGCGAGCCAGCGTAGAAAAGGGGGATTATTATGAAGCACATCAGATGTACAGGACTTTATTTTTTAGGTGAGACTTCGTTTTTACGCTTGTTCATTCGGTTATAATTGCCGTTTGGCTTCGAGGCCTGCCTGTTCCAGATCATTCTGCTGTCAACCTTGCTTTTACACCTGACTGTCTGTGATTGGTCTGCTTTCACAGCGGGCCCACCCACTCTTCGTGATCCTTGTGTTTGTTTGGACGGTCGCGTTTTCCATCTAGTCTCAAAACGGGACTGCTAACTAATGCTAGTTAGCTAGCTATGTGTTTGCTTTTGATGGCTGAAGTGTAGTTAGCTACCCGGACAATGCCTACCACAGATATTCTGCTTTTATGTGTAACTTGAAAGTCTCTTTATTCGTACATAACCGAATCTAGCGGCTAACTATTTTAGTAACTGCTGAGGTTGCAAAAACTTGTTAGTTGAAGATGTCCGGCTGAGTTAGCCAGTTAGCAACATTCTGCGCTGTGGCGGTCTGGACCGAGATGGCTGGACGTGTTATCGCTAGCAAAAGTGTCTTCATTCACAGCCTGTCCATTTAGAGACCTGAATAAGCCTAAGCGTTTGTTGAGTGTTCCAGTTTTTGTCATAAAAGCTCAGTCTTAACTCCCTGCTCCAACACTATGAAATCTGAGCTATATTTATTGCAATAACATTATTAGTCAATGTGCAATACTGCTTAGCTCCGTATCACCAGCTATCACCAGCTTTTAATTAAAAGGTGCTATAAACCTATTTGAATCCAATTTGAAAACGTTCTTTCTCTCACAGTGGGTGAGTGTTGGCCTGCTCATTCACTGGTTTTCATGATTGAAGTGTTAACACCTGGAAATAAAGGGAGTCTAAAATATTGTTTTCCTTCATTGATACCTGCTGTGAAAAAGAAGGGAAGCAGGACTGAGCTAGTGTGCCTTGGAAACGGATAGTGTCATCTCTTGTGTAATACTGATACTCTGTCTTGCATCAGGTACATGTCACAGGGGAAACATGCGGAGGCCAGGGAGCTGATGTATAACGGAGCATTGCTCTTCTTCAGCTACAACCAGGTACATGCAGCACCGAGTTTGTTAGAAAGCAAATAATTTTGGCTGTAATAATTGACTTGTTTTGTGTAATTATAATATTTTATAGTAGATCATTAACCCAAGTTCCAGACAGTTCCTGACGGTGTAGATTTAAAAAATGTTTTTTACACTTGCTGTGTTTTGGTTTGCAGCAAAACAGCGCAGCAGATCTGTCCATGCTGGTGCTGGAGGTTTTGGAGAAATCTGAGACAAAAGTTGAAGATGAAATATTAGGTGGGTGCAAGACTTTGTGTTTTAAAGTTTATCTACAAGACTTCTTGTAAATAGTGGTAAATACATTTTTTTTCTATTGAAATAAATATTACCAAACTAAAATCACATATAGAATATGTGCAGCTTATCAAACATATCCTGATCATTAACTGCTGCAATAGCTGAACTGTGGATTTGTGCTTCATATAATAAATAATTGATCAGCTAAATCTCACTTCTCTATCTGTGTGTATGACTGATTGCAAATGATGTAGCTATAAATCCTCATGATAGTCAAAGAAGTCTGCACAACAGGGCATTTCATTTATATTTCTCTGATTTATTTTTTTTTTTTTAAGAATGTCTGGCTAAACTGTTCAGCCAGATGGACCAGA